GACGGGTTCAAAAAACGCATTGAGGTGGCGCTCGGGGACAGGCAGCGTTGGGCTGATGGTTGGATGGGAGCTTTGAGGTCTTTCCAAGCTTAATAATTCTCAGATCCCATGCATTTTACCAGCTGCAATCATCTCCCCACCCTGGCATCTGTAGTCTTGCTAATTTATTACTTCAATAGAGTGTTAACAGGAAGCTGAGCACTCTACCTGGCACGCTCAAGGGTTTTGCCTCCTCCAGTCTCTTGCAAGTGCAAGTCTGGATGAACTCTCCTTACAACAAGGACTTTTTTTTCCCCCCCTACTGGTTTATCCACAATGTCTCTTTCTAAGGAAGAAGTCCCTGGAGTCCAATGGAGACAGTTTCTCCTTTGGGAGAAACATTTCACTCATTTTTCCACCACCTTCCAGAAGGCTGAAGGAATTTTGTATCCTTGAAATCCCCTGACACCTTATCAAAGTAAAAAGCAACATACAAGTGCAAAAAAAAAAAGCTATTGTAGGAAGTCACACTAGTTACAGGGACACAAACCCCATTTCTGGAGGGAAAGATGTAAAATTCACAGAACAGCTTAGGTTGGAAGGGACCCTAGAGATCATCTCATCCAACCTCCCTGCCATGGGCACAAACGCTTCTCAACTAGACCAGGTTGCTCAAGGCCTCATCCAACCTGGCCCTGAACACCTCCAAGGAGTTGTTGGTGTTCCAACAACTCATAATGAACCACCCTCATAATGAAGAGCTCCTTCCTAAGATCTAGTCTAAACCTCTCCTTCAGTTTAAAACCATTTCCCCTCGTCCTGTCACTGCACTCTTGGGAAAAGTCCCTCTCCAGCCTCCCTGTAGCTTCCCTTCAGGTAATGAAAAGCAGTTTAACATCCCCCCTGGAGTCTTCTCTTCTCCTGGCTGAACAACCCCAGTGCCCTCAGCCTGTCCTCATAGCAGAGATAGAGTTGAAGAGCTTCTCATAGAGCAGTAAAATAGAAGGGATTATTGAAATCTGCTCCCAGCACCCTCCCAGTGCTTTGCTTACAGAGCTGAGCCCCTTCTTCTGGCTGCAAACTGCAGGAGCAGCCCACCCACATTGACCACACTCCCCTAACCCCAGCAGGCACAAGGCACGAGCTCCCTTTGCCTGGCACTCACCCATCAGACACACTCAGGCCATAGTAACTGATGAAATCAGTGGCTTCTTCACTGTCTTTGAAGAGCAGCATGCGGACCAGGTGATCCAGGGGAAACACTGTGCACCTCTGGGTGCTGACAGTGTAGGCAATGTTGAGGGATTTGAGAGCATCTTTACGAATCTGGGGGGAAGACAAAACAAAAAGCCACCTAACTACTCAGTTCAAGACCCTAAAATGTACTCTAAAGTGTGCCACAGACACAAAAATCACTTCTAAAAGAAATCAGTACTTTGTCGTCAAACACCCACACAAACAACTCTGATTTAACTCTTTTTTAAATCCCATGCCCTTGCTTTCTAGTTTCTGCTCCTTTTCAAGGCTGCTCATTTTGAGTGTAACCCTTTGCAACTCTTGGGCAGAAGACAAAACTTGGAAGGGCTTCTGAACGTGCAGGTTGGTATTTCCTCTGCAAAAGTCTCAGGCCCGCTTCTCAATTTTTGTTTTCAGGGGAAGGACAATGTATCTGCACACAGTCATGGGGAAAAAGTGCTGAGAAGAGCATTTTAGTATTTGCCCTTTATATCAAAGCAGAAAACTCTTTGATAAATTCTTCAACACTTCTGAAGAAGCCAGAATAAGATTATTTTAAAGGCTACGTATCTACCAAGTTTTCTGCTAATGTTTCCTCCCAAAAGTCCCAGTCTGTTTTACTGATTTAACACTTTAAAAACCACCCATCTGCTGCTTTCTCACCTGGTTGAAGTAACAGTGTAAGAGACAGGCATTCAGGTAGGAAGCTGCTTGCACTAGCTTGAAAAACCTCACAAAGTTGTTGCTGTTCAAGGCGGCGAAAGCTTGAACTGCAAATCTGACCTCAGGGGAGTTTCTGACCTCTGACTGAAACTGCTGCACCTCTCTGCAGGGGCAAAGGAGAGAGACAAATCCTTTTGTTTCAGTATTAGCAATCACAATTCAATAGCAACCTGTAACAAAAGGGAATTAAAATGAGGAGCTTTAAAGAGAGAGATAGAACTATCCAAAACCAACAGCTGTGAACTATATTTGCAGTGTTCCTTACTCATCAACAAGCTTCTAATGATGCTTGCATAATAAGCATGTTACTCTTTAGGATCCAACATCTAGGGAAGGAGGCAGTTAAGAGAGTGAACAGAAAAAGTATGACTCTGCCCACAAAGTGGTTTTTGCTTGGTGCTGCTGCAGATAGAGCAGTAAAGCTGTGATACCACGTGGGAAGAGAGAAAAAAACCATCTTGATTTAACTTTAGAGGATTTTTACCACCTGCAGATGCTCTAATGAGTTATTAAAAGAGAGAAAGCTTTTTCTTTTATTAAAAAATAGACTTTTTAAAATGACCTGTTGAAAAATTCAACACTTTCTTTGGGAAAAAAAAAAGATGTTGCAACTAAGCTCCACCCTCCTGCTACAGCTTGTGTGAACTCAAAACTCATCTCAATCCCTCCCAGAGGCAAAGAGAGAAAATAAGTGGTATCTGTGGTTCCCACCTGAGAATATCACCCTTGTTGAGGTTCAGCAAGACATGATAACCTCTGAACTCTGCTTCACTCTTGCAGTAAATGCCCTTGTTAGCCAGGTCCTGATACATCTCCTTCAAGCTCTGCAGACACTTGGTCATGTTCTCGTTGTTGATTTTGGCATCGAAGGAGGACATGGGCTCTTCACACAAGTGGTGGGCACAATGGATATGAAAGCGAGTGCACTTCTCAATCAGAGACACCATCAGAGGGTTGCAGAGGTGCTGCTGGGTTATATCCTGACCAGAAGGATAAAGACATGGCACATATTTTTCAGCTGCAGTTGGAAAGCACAGTCATCAGGCACTACCTTTGGAAAGCTCATTTCCATGGGGTGTAGTTCAAAACGTTTGAACGACTGTTGCTTTTTAGAGCCTTATGTCATGTTTTGTTTCCCCATCAAACACCTCCACCCACCACTTCTCACCTTTCTAATTCCACGAGTTCTGTTCCAGACAAAGTCATACCACTCTCGGTAGTTCCCTTCTCCTTGATCCATGATGTTGGTCACCAAATAGTCCATGGTCATGCTCAACACCTCAGAGGGTCTCAATTCGTGGGGCAAAGGTTCCTCCTGATCTGCTGAAGACCTGCTATATTCCTTGACTGCTGCTGCATGATCTACCTGTGAGATGTGGAGAAAAGAACCCAAATCCAAGAAGTAAGCTCAGCTTTTCAAGGGTACAGAGGATTTCATCCCACCCATGCCTTTACTTTAGGAAGGAGCAGACTATGAAAGGAGTTTCTCCACTCTTCACACTAGTGGCCCATGTCCATTCTGCTACCACAGCAAATACATCTTATTTGATGCCAGGATCCTCACCCTCAAACTCATAACCTTCAAGACCATGTACACTGCTGTCCTATTCTAGAACTGTAATTCTAAAAGCCTGTGTGCAGTGGATGAAAAGTCAGGACTTGGACTGAAAAAGCAATTCTTGAGCCTTCCTGTTCTACAACAGGGAACTGAAAGATGTTCATTAAACAGCCTCCAGGATTTTTCCAACACAATTAATCCTGCCATCAACCACACTGACAGCTTTCAAGAAGCAGCAAGCAAACAGATGCCCTGGGAACAACAAACCTCTGCATACAGAGGGCTCATACCTTGTCAGACCCCAGAAGCAGTTCAAAGACACTGAGCTGGTTTCTTGTCTCCCTCATGTAACGTTCCTTTTCAGGACACATGTCTGGGCAAGTGCCAACAACAGTTTTTGCTTTGCCAAGATTGGTCCTTTTTATTCGAACTGAAAGAAAAAAAATACATATATAAAGTTGAACAAACACTTGGTACCTCTTGGGTTTTGGGTTGGTGTTTATTCTTTTTGCTTTCATGACAAGCTGCCACCCTGATGTGCCCACCCAGCCCTGGGTGCCTCAGCCAGCAGCTGTACCTTGGTCCATGGATGATGTCAAGAACATTGTTAAGGCAACAGCTGACAAAAAAAAAAGCCACTAGGAAAAGGTCTCTAGGGATTCCCAAGCTAGATCTAGTCAGAGCAAGGTTGCACCCACACCTTGGCATGGTCAAAAAGGCACAAGGAGAGGGTTCTCCCACTCTGGGGCCTGTCCCAGGGTTGCACCACTCCTTTGGAGAAGCTCCTCCTACCATCCCCACCTGTGTATCAAGAGCTTTGCTGAAAAGATTGAAGCCTCCAAAAGACATGGAATGTTCTGTGTCCTAACCAAGCACTGGCAATTCCACATCAAGTGGATGAGAAATGTTTGTTGCTATTAAAAATAAGATCTTAAATGGAAAAGGTCAGCCTTGAAATGGTGAGAAGATGATGGAAGGGTTTACAGCCCAGCCCTGAGAAACAAAAGGGCCATTTCTTGAAATAACCACCAGCTGTGTTGCAGTTTGAATGCAGAGAAACACAGTTAGGCTTTGGGAAGCTCTCTTCAAAGAGCCTGCAGGGATTTAAATCTCCCTGCACGGCCTCCTCCACACAGCAGGTGAACAGTCTGCCACTCACCTCCCACAAGAAACATGCCTGTGCAGGAAGCAAAACAGATCCTTGACTGCTCTGCAAGAAACCACTGTCTGTATGTAGACTAGGAGACTGTTTTACAGACTGCTCTGAGTTAAACTCTCTCCTCAAAGCCATTTCTATAACAACCCAGGAGCTTTGCAACACACACCAAACACTCGTTTCCTTCCAGCAATGTTACACTCATTAACTTGTGTCATTACCTTGCCTCATGATTTTGTCCCTTTGGTCCAGAAGACGGTATCTTTCTTCAGATGTCTCAGCCACCAACCCCACCAGGTTAGCCAGAGAGGACAGAGAAGCTCCCAAGGCCTCTGAGTTCTGCCCTTCAGCACTGGAATCAAGAGCATCTGCTTCAAACTGCAGCGCCTTTCGAAGCCCAGGCTTCTTTGCCAGAGAACTGAAAAGAGATTTGGGTTTATTTTGTATCATTAGTACCTTAACACACCCCCCCAACTCACTGTTCTTCAGGACAACATCTCTGTTGAGCACAATATTCTGCCCACAAGGCAACGTGTCCCACAAATAAAAGTCCATACCAATGTCCACGGCTGTCACAGGAGTTAGTCTGGTGAAATCACCACCCAGGACTCTTGACTGGGGTGGAAGCCCCAATTTTTCCACAACAGAAGCAGTATTACCCACTCTGCCCAAAGGCAGCCAGAACCAGAGAGCTGCTGCAGCATTTTGGCATCACTGGGGCACAGCAGTGGGTGTTTCAAGGCAGGAAGCAGCCTGCTGTTTGCTGTGAAAAAGCTGAAAAATGCTTCCTGTAGAAGATTTTACAAGGCCCAGACACAAATGTACTTATTAAATCATAAAACACTCACTCCTTCCTTCACCACATCTTACTGATGTCATCTTTATGTAGCTGTGCCTACCAAGTGACTTTTGTCAGAGCAGACACACTGTTAAGGTTCCACAGGGAGGTGAGAGCTTTGCCACCTCAGTGACTGACATGGAACAGGAGGATTCCTCTACAAAGACCAGCACTTGAAGTGAAACAGAGACAGATCCAAACTCTCCATCTGCTCTGAACAGGAGATTCTCATTCCACAGACCTGCTGCTGCCTAGAAATGAAGCTGCTCACTTTGGAAGCTCATTTAATCACCCCACAGAGCAGTGTCCTTACTAGTGTGGCTCTGCATGGATTCATTCAATTCCCATAGGCCTCATTCTGGCAGGTGGCACTGCTCACATTGGTACAAAGTTCTCACAAGAAACCACCAGACTGAAGTAAAAAAAGCAGTTACAAGTATTTTTCTGACAAAACATGAGGTCTGTGAGCTTGTAACTCAGACAAACCAGCAGAGAGGAGGGGGGCACACCCCCCAAAGCAAACACAAGGTCTTGGCACATGCTGATTGTTGCTTTTCCTCACACAGCTCCCTGCCAGACAGGCTCCCAGTGGAGCAGACATACCTTTTGCCAGGCACAACACTGCTGGCAGAGGATCTTATTAGAGGTTTTCGAAGAGGGGAATGCTGATAGTTTTGCTCCTCAGTGCTTTGTCTGCCTTCATCTTCACCTGCTTTCTGCTCAGATGAAAAGTCTCTCTTTGCTGGACCTGGAGTGACAGGGAAACATGAAGCCAGGCACCTGGCAAGCAGTTCAAGCCACACTTTGTTCCCCAGGGGGGTGGGGATGAGCTGCTTGTGTATAAAAACATCCAATTCAAAAATAAACCCAAGAGTTTGCAAATGTATGCAAAACTTCCAGGAAAACTTGTACTAGAAGCTGTACTGAGTAAATCTGTTGGCTCCCCTGTTCTGTGAAGAGTATTTTTCAATAAAACATCCTTAGCATTGACTAAAAGGGGTCAGCAGATGGCCAGTGAATGAAGTGTGATCACCACACCAATTTGAGTTCTCTTAGGTTTAGGACATGATCTTTACAGGACCCAAAATCCACATGCCCCACCTGGCAGCCACAATACTCAGAGCTCCGGCTGAAGCTTCTCAGTTATTTATTCCACATACCCAAGCTTAGGCTGAGGTTGCAAAAGCCTTCTCCAGAGGCACACCTACACTTTGGAGGAAGGGAGGACTTCTTCAGCCTGCTGGGTTTCTTCAACACTCTCCTGTGAGTTATTTTTGGATACTGCCACTCATGTCCCCATGGCCTTAGCACCCCAGTGAAAGGACAAAGGCAAACAGGCCCCCCTAGAGCTGCTGCTCTGAGAGGTTTAATTCTCAGGAAGGCAACTCTGCAGCTGCTCCTTTTCCAGAGGGCAAATCTGTGGCTGCTCAAAGCTGTGGTGAACCTTTCATTTGCCAGCCTCTGAAACATGCCCCCCAGGCTGGGATCTCAGAGCTACACACACACACAGAGCACTCAAACAGCTAACAGAAAGGGAAGCACTCAATTCAAGTGTTCATTTGTCTGGGGGGGGAACAGCCAAGGCTCACATCTCTTGCTCTAATCCCAAGCAGGGCCTGGAATGCAGGTTTCTCATTTCTAAACTCAGCTCTCTGTAGAGGTTTTTCTCTTCTTGGTTCAAGCACCTTGTAGCTGTTGATGTGCACAACATCAGCAACACAAGACACTCACTCCAGGGGACTCCTTAACTCAGTTCTCAGCTGAAGCCCAGGTGAAGTGTTGGGGGTTAAACCCCCAGCCCTGAAGGAGGGTTGGCACATGGATGATGTCCACAACCAGGCAAGAAAGACCCTCCCTGACTGGTTTTCACCCAGGGTTTGAGGCCAGCCTTGACAACAGGACAAAATCAAGACAGAAAGAGGATTACCTATGTCATGAGGCTTTTCCTTGGCAATTGCTGCATGAATAGAATTGGACTTATGACCCATTTTCTAACTCTGCTCACTCCTTTCTTTGCTACATCATATCCTGTGAGTGAATGCATTGATCTAGCAATTCCTCCAGCTGTTAGCCACCTCCTATCCTTCCTACATACTCTGGAATGGGAGGGTAAAATCTATCCTAATGGCCTTATCCTTCCTGCTGGGAGAAGTGGTCAGCAAAACAGCACGTCCCAGCCTGGGCTCTGAAGCAGGCAGCAATGCTTCTGAAGTGGGGTTTTCTTACATCCCCAAAGAACAATTTTCTAGATAAAGGTCCTCTTGTGCAGCTGCACAAATGGTTCCTCAATTCTCTTGTGAAACCACACTGGCATTTCAAGCACCTTCAGCTCTTTTGTATGGCAGAAACAGTGTTTTGGCTCAGATGCAGCAAAATGCTGCAGAAAACAGGAATTTCAGAAATAGTTCAACTTCCAAATGGGAATTGCAGTTGCTCACTTGAAACTTCCACAATACCAGAGGACAGTGCTGTGGATGAAGTGTATGCAACCCACAAAAGCAACCAGGTAACTCCACAGAAGAAAAATTCTCCAAGGGCTAAGAGACCCCTTCTAGCAACCTGGGTTCCTGAGCCACAGGCTGTAACAGTCTGAGAAATGCCTCTGGAAGCAGCTACATGTTTTATCCTGCTCTTTTTCCCCTCCCCTGCACATTCACTACCAGCCCTGGCCACAGGCAGAGATGCCACTTCAAATGTATAGCAACTATTTTTATGCCTCTGTGAAGAGGAACTTTCAGTGCTCCCAGAAACTCTCTGCACCAAACAAGCCAAACAGAACCATCCTACTTCTGGAGCTGGAACATTCCCACTGTGGAGATAATCTTTGCATGGATCTCAGCACATCAGCAAACATGACAGAGCACACACCAGGTATGTACCACCCAATAATCCTACCTGGAAGCACAGACTTACTCGTTTTCTTCTTGTGCCAGAAGGTTACTATGTCTTTGTGCAAATCTTTTGCTTTTTTTCTGGCGAGAGCTGCAGAGGCCTGAAAGTCAATGAAAGCAGAGTGTGAAAACATGTTAGCATTGCAGCAAAACACACAGTGCAGTTTTTGGTCAGAGAAACCTTTACCAACTTCCACAAAAATTCTGGCTACCTCATTTTAACCTCCTGCCTAAGATCTACACACAACCAGCAAGACTGGGCAGGTTTCCACCAAGATGGCTGCTTTTTGCTACAGCCTGCTAACAAGCCAAACAGAACCATCCTACTTCTGGAGCTGGAACATTCCCACTGTGGAGATAATCTTTGCATGGATCTCAGCACATCAGGAAACATGACAGAGCACACACCAGGTATGTACCACCCAATAATCCTACCTGGAAGCACAGACTTACTCGTTTTCTTCTTGTGCCAGAAGGTTACTATGTCTTTGTGCAAATCTTTTGCTTTTTTTCTGGCGAGAGCTGCAGAGGCCTGAAAGTCAATGAAAGCAGAGTGTGAAAACGTGTTAGCATTGCAGCACCAAAACACACGGTGCAGTTTTTGGCCAGAGAAACGTTTACCAACTTCCATAAAAATTCTAGAAGTCAATGAAAGCAGAGTGTGAAAACATGTTAGCATTGCAGCAAAACACACAGTGCAGTTTTTGGTCAGAGAAACCTTTACCAACTTCCACAAAAATTCTGGCTACCTCATTTTAACCTCCTGCCTAAGACCTACACACACAACCAGCAAGACTGGGCAGGTTTCCACCAAGATAGCTGCTTTTTGCTACAGCCTGCTAAGAGCACTTGAGAGCAGAGGGGTGAATTTAAGCACAAACAGGACACAGAGGCAGCAGTTCTCCCCGCGGCTGGACCCACCCCGAGCGCTTCCCACACTCACATGATCAAAAAAGTGGAGAATGGCCATTTTTTTATTGCGCCTGGTCATGATCCGTCGGACTTTGACGAACTGGCCGAAGTGCTTCTCCAGCACCGTCCTGTCGTTGAGGTAATCGGGGATGTTCTTGCACTGGACGGCCGTCAGCT